AAGAAGTTCTCAAAATATATCGAAATGCAAGAAGAAAAAAACATTGAGGTGCTTTAACTTTGGACAGCTTTTCTGACCAAACTATTTGATCATATTTCCCAGATTGCGGCTACCCCCTATCTTTTTTCTTTGTGTGTGGGGGGGGGGGGGGGNGGGGGTGTCAGAAATCCGAATCAGTAGACAAAAAATGTTATTCAGCTAAAGTACATTTTTGATTCTGATTTCATATTTCAAAACATCGCTTGCACTAATTAATTAGCATATTTGAGGTCACCTCCTCGAAGAATTTAGATTGGGTTCTACAATGTGAAGATCCGATCTTTAGATCAAAAATTTCAGAGTGCTCCGTTTTTTATTTCGCGCACTGCACATATCAGGGGTCACAAAATAGTAATAAAGCTAGGTGGAAAAATATCTATCATCATATGTCGATTTACAAGAGAGAATAGCTAGTTAAAAACAATAAAATCTAGCTTGATCGCTCGATGATATTTGTAGGCGTTTTTAATTAATACTTATAAACTTTTTAAGTTTCCTCTGGCAATAAAACAGTTTTGATGTTTTCACCTTTTGGCTTTACTCAGCACTAATTTGTTAAGTTTCTAAAGCGTCTTTCTTTTCGTTTAAACACTAATTTGCTATCCCAACTGAGCGTGTAATTTTTATGTCAGTTTAACCAAGATTTCTGAAAGTATGCAGTAAGGGTGATCATTACGGAACATCCTGCACACAAAAATATTTTTTAATCCATAGCTGGAACTTCATATACAAGTTTAGTTGACAGTTAAATATAGTTTCTATAATAAAGATATCACTCAGATCAGATTTATACAAGATACAATAATTCATCCATATACATCCAATTATGTAACATGCATTCAATTATGTAACATAATTATGTAACATACATCCAAGTATGTAAAATAATAGCGTAACATACGTCAAATTATCTAACATAATTCATATAATACATAATTGATCCTATAATGTAACATGCTTTGGTATGTTAATCATTGTTTTGGATATAAATTATTAATGATGTAAATGCAAGCACTAGTGTATTTGAAAATGGATCTTACTTTTATTATCACCATTTTGCTTAAGGAACATACAGGCTCAACCCAGTCAAAGAGAGACTTATAATCTTCTTTTTCCATGGAGAGTAATTTTCTGTAATGAAAACAAAATTTTTTAGACAATAAATTATAAATAAAGAAAGAAAACTAAATGTTTTAGAAAAATAATTCGTTTACAAAATATCACAGCAATAAGTTTTTCAACATTCTTATACTTGTACTTGTAATAAACTCAGTTTAAACTTTTTGTAATTAGCTGCCAGCACTTGTGGTTGGGTGGTTAAGCTGCGTGGTGCGGAGACCGCAAGTTTACTGCCACCATCTACACTCCGATCTTAACTATGGAAATGCCGTCCCCGCAAGTGTCAATATTAGTAATCTAAGAAAAAAGTAAAATCAAAACTACCAGAATATGGGGAAATGTACAGTGTTTCTAGCGCTATGGGAACACCAAAAAGCTCGGTAATTTTCACCGAAGAGCCTTGGTAATAATTTTGGTAAAATTAACAATAAAATATGGTTTTATAATGAGAAAAATAAATTAAAAATTGGTAATTTTAACATGATATCTTAAAGCATGACAAAAAAAACCATTTATTCTATTAAAATTACTTTTCAGTTCTGTATTTTTTACTAAATGTGTGGTAATAAGAGCTATAACTTTGAAAACTTGTATTTTCCGTACACTGTTATCATGTAAATGGAAACATTACCAAATAAATGATTTATCTATATTTTTTTGAACCAGAAATGTCTTTAACTTACAGTATGATAATTTTACCAGAATTTTTTTTCTCCGTGTGTAGGCCCAACAAAACCAAGCTTCGTAACAGAAAATTTATTACTTATTTATTTTAATCTGAAATTTCTAAACAAAAATTTTATAAAAAGCATATGAATAATTAGGAGCAATAAAAAGATAAGTTACATATTTTGCAAAGGTGACGTAATTTCAATTTTCTTCGATAAGCACTTGCAAATTTCCGAAATTTCACAAAACTAAAGCACAATACATAGAAATATCTATAAAAATTGTGGTGCTTTTCTCCGAAAACAATGCTATTAACAATGTGAATGTGGCTTATACATATTTTATCATTAGATGTGCATGTATCAATATTTTTCCAACACATATATTTCTTTTCTACACAATTCTAAGAATAAGTCAAGCATCTTATGCGCAATATTTTATTTTGATTTCTAATGGCAGATTATGAACAGTTACAGCTGAAAACAAGTTAAAAGAATACAACAAAAAATGGTGAAACAGAGTTCATTAATCTAACATATCGCTAGCCTCCCAATAACGGTCGGCGTGAAAAGTCTTGTCTAGAGCAAGACAGTGGAGTAGATAAGCGGATTTCGTGACCTCTTCAGAGCTGCACAGAGTGTATATCGGACTTATGTGCAATATAGCTATCCACTGATTCAAGTATAACCTTTAAAATCAAATAGCTGGCAACGTAAAGTACAGTCAAAACCAACATATTTTCCGGAATTATCTCTCTCTAGCTATAACTTCTCTAAGCATTTAGTGTTTTTCCTATAAAAAGTTCCCAAAATATATAATAAAAGCATTGAATTTATCGACTTATTTAATTAATGTATTGTTTTACAATAGTTTCACAATTACTTAAAAAAAGATGACAGAAATTCATTAAAGTAAGTGAAGCAAGTTTTGGTTAAAGACGACTAAAATAATTTTGTTTGGATACCAATTTCTTAAAAAATTGCACATTTCTAACGGAAATTAAAAAAAATGTGCATTTATAAAAAATACATTATACAATTTTATATCGAATGCATCTAATATTTATTTTTCTTTAAATCAATGTTTGTATGAGAAATATTATTCCGGAAAAATAATCATAATTTGTAAAAATTTGATTTGTAAAACGTAAATATTGAATCTTACAGTTGCTAATCTATCTTACAGCTGCTATAATTATGAGTACATTTACTAGTTAAGTTCAAAGCAATCAAACAAATAGTTTATAATAATTGGATTTTAAAATTGTAAGTATTAAATACATTATAATCTGTTACAGTTATTATAATGATGTGCATATTAAATAATGCATAAAAATGGGAAAATTCCAATGTTCATATAAAAAGATATAATTCTGTAAAAATTATTTGAAAACTAAACTTCAAAAATTTTTTTAAAAAAAATTATCTTGAACAAAAAATAATATTTCATGAACGTAGAAACTAGTTTGTCATTATATAATTTTCAAATTGCAAACAATGAATACTTCTAACTCCTTTTCTATAATTCCTATAATAATGTGCGCATTTGAATAACTTTTTTTAAACATTTGGAAGTATTATTTCTTCACGTTTACAAAAAAGTGGACGAATTGGTGGACGAATGGTGAACATAATTGTGAGCACAGAAAGAAAAATATTGCTGAATGGTAAAGGCATTTCTGGTAAGAAAAACCATATTTCTGGAAATAAAACTAAAATAAACGGTATTTAAAATCTTTATTTCAGAAATTTTCCCTTCACATGGTTAATAGTTTTACCGGAAATTTTAGCTTTCAAAATTATAGTTCTTATTACCATACATTTAGTAATAAATGCAAATCTGAAAAGTAAATTTAACCGAATCAATAATTTTAAGTCATGCTCCAAGGTATCATGATGAAATTACAAAATTTTGTTTTATTATCGTGCGTTTTAGTGTTCCCATAGAGTCAGAAACTCGGTAAATTTTACCATGTTTTGGTAGTTTTGAGCATATTTTTTTCCTCCGTGCAGACTTAATAATACCTGAAAGAACTGTAGCTTTCATTATATTTATCTTCAAGAATGCAAAAAAAATAAAAAAACAAATAAAAAAAAAAAAAAAAAAACGTTGATTTTAGAACGCCAATCGGTGTAATTATAGCCAATTTTCGTTTCTCTCAGGTTAACTGATCCCATTCGATTCGCAGCTTTATTTATACTATGTTCAAAGCCATAAAATAATTGTGGAAAAATAAGAGCAAGTATAGAAAATAGCCGTAAAAAGATTTGAGAAAAAGTAGAGTTGCTGTACGGTGAGCAAAATTTAGTGGCAAAAACTAAAATTAAATCGACGGTTTTAATCTGAATGTGATTAGTGTGAAAAGGTACGAGATAGCCTGGTCGGTAGGGCGCTGGGCCGAGAGTTCGTGGGTTCAAACCCCGCCGGCCGAAGACTACCCGTGTAGTAAAATGGTGACTGATGCACGTTAAATCTGTCAAGTCGCAAAGTCCTCCATGTTTCCATAACAAATCAATGCCTCTGGGGGTACTGAATTGGAGATTGATAGTTCTCTGATTTAGGTCAAAATTACGATCTGTGGATGTATTAATGGGTCACACCCTATAAACGGTGTGACGTATGAGTGGGGCAGAAGTAGAATTCTTGGCAATAGATGGCGCCACTGGAAAACAAGAACAATCGTACCCATCTGCTTAACAGACATTCGCCAACAACAATAATAGTGTAAAAAACAGAGAAACACTGTTTTGTCAACAACAAAAAACTTTAAGTAGTCAAATATACAAAGAGAGTCCGTAAAAAAGGCAATTTTTTACATTTCATGGATAATGGTTATAACAGAATTTTTTTTTTTTGAACAGTTTTTTTCTGTAGAATTTACGGTTATTTTTTACAGTGTATCATTTTTAAAAATTGGAAACATAATCCAATACTGTAATTTAAGTTTCATTTTGGGAGGGGGAATTCAATATGTTTCAAATTGCGTTAACCATAATTAGTTTTTAATAAGTTATAACAATAATATCAAGTACGCATGCCAATTCCTTAGCTTGTTAAATATTTTATTTGTTAATGCTAAATTTTAGCAAAATGATATTTTTAAAAGCATAGGACTAATTAATTTTTTAAGAATACTAGCATAAGTCACTATACTCATTTAAATTACTTTCCGTCATCAAGTCTTGACATCCTCCGTCTAGACAATTCATTAAATCCTGAAAATTTGGTAAATTGGGACATCCTATGTCAAAGAACACGAGGAAAATCCCGCAATTATGCTTTAAATTCCCGTAAATGGAGTGACGTCAACAGTAGTTGCTTTAATTAAGGCGAGATAAATGAAATCTAAATGGTCTGCGTGTAGACTTTTGAAATGTTTACGCTATAACAGTCAGCTTTAAGACATGTCTTACCTAAGTGAATTTTTAATGGTTTTAGTGATTAAAAAATTAAAGTTGTACTGTTTCTTTTGATGTTTTTTTCCATGATTTTGCTTTTGTGTATTAAAATAATAACTCATTAGAAAATGAATTAAGGAAATTTTTAGTAATTTTTGTTGATAAATTAAAGAGGAGTTGAAAAAGATTAAATTGCTAAAGAACCAAATGCAGCTGTATTGTCCGAAATATAAGGTGAAAAAAAGCGGTACATTATATTTTTACTATATGTGCTATAAACTATGTTACTCGCAAAAATTAGAGGTAGAAGAGCTTGAGCTTAAATCAGAAATTGAAAAGGTTCCAGTACTCATACTGCGTATCTAATATTTTATAGAAAAAAACAAGTACCATAAATTTCAGCGTTTAATTATTAGAATTAAAATAAAAAATAATATTAGTTCTTTAAAGTTTAACTTGACTAATTGAAGATCTATCAATAATGAATAAACCATGAACGGATAAGAATTGTTTAGATTGTTCAATGTACTAGATTCGTAATTTCAATGTAATAGATTTTTAATTTAAATGTACTAGCTTCGATACTACTGAAAATGAATAGGACCATGAAGTGNTACTATGTCTTTGATGATAATATATTATGTCTTTGTGCTAGAACATTGTGTTCATTGGCGAGTGAGCGCAGCGAACCATGGTTCACGGCGTGAACCACATAGGATTGCGTAGCGATTCTCGGGGGTTGGCGAACGTTAGCGAGCAGGGGGCGGAGCCTCCTAGTAATGAATAAACCATGAACGGATAAGAATTGTTTAGGTTGTTCAATGTACTAGATTCGTAATTTCAATGTAATAGATTTTAAATTTAAATGTACTAGCTTCGATACTACTGAAAATGAATAGGACCATGAAGTGAAGCAGATTCTGAACGCATTTAAAAAAAAAACTGGATTTCTCATGACTTTCACTTATTTTATAAGAAATAATCTCAAATGTGTTTCTTATTTGTTCGAAGATTATGTACTTAAGGAATAAACAGTTTTTAGCATTTTTAACATCAAGGAAGGGAAGAAAAAAATTTTCTTACTTAAATCTTTTATTCTCTACTGAAGTATCATCTGACATTTAACTACTCCAATATATTTATTACATATAGGTTATAGCTCAAATTATTACTTGTTACAAATTATCTCTATGTAAAATGGTTTCTAGCGTACAGGAACATAAGGAAGCAGTATATAAACCTCGACTTATGCTTTTTCTGATAATCAACTCTAGTTTAAGCTTGTTTATCTCACAACGATGTGAGTAAAATGGCAAGTAAACAAATATCCTTCTATTTCATTTAATTTAAAACGCTAGAAGGAAGTTACAGAGTTCCTATAAGGAGCCTTAAACCGAGCTTTAAATCAACAACATTCTCTATCTATAGTATAAATTCTATCATAAGATCTTTCTTTTTTTTTAATTCTAAATTCTTCCCTATTGTTAGGTAGATAGGATGGTATAGGACAGTGTTTCCCAAACTTATGATTTTTGCGTACCCTTTCTAAATTTTTATTTTCGTAACTCTGTGCACCACTAATAAAAAAATGAATTTATTTTTTTTAAATATGCTTATTTTTCTTTTTCGGTACAAAGTTTTGTTAATAAGTTCATTTGAATCAGTGAGAAGGATGATATTGTTTTTGCTGTAATAAAAAATTGCACAAAAGTTAAAAAACGCAACTGGCTGTTGACACTACTAATTATTAACTGTTAACTCAGCAAAAGTAGCCAATACAAAAATACGTAATCGTAAATTTTCATGACTAGCTTTGTTTTTAAATAAAAATGTTTGAAATTTTCGTTTGTTGTAAGATATATCGCATAAGAACGCGTACCCCAGCTAAACTGTTCCCGTACCCCTTGGTGTACGAGTACTACACTTTGGGAAACACTGGTATAGGGAAAAAATTATCTTTTTCTTTAAACCTATGAGAATATGCACTGTAAAAATTTCCATCTCAAATTACGGTAATAAGTTTTGGCACGCGCATTTTTCCCGTAAAATTTCGCGGAACAAAAAATATGCTATAATATAAATGGCATGAAGAAATATGACAATTATATTTACTGTAAAATCACGAAATCACTGAAATTATACAAATATTACTGTAAAAATTGATGTATAACACTTTACAAATGGATTTTACGGATCAGAGTGCCAGTACTTTTAATCGTAATTTGAACCGGAATTTTTAACAGTGTGTTTGAACTAACAAGTGTTTAAAAGAACAGAGAAATTTATTTCGACCCCTCAAATATCAGGAAACACTAGCAGAAACATCAATCGTGGAAATAATTAAAAATAATAAAAGTTATAATATACATCTGCTATATAATGGACTTTGAGGGCATAGTGAGCTTCATTCCAGGACTCAAGCTCTTTCTGCTAGCAACAAGAAAATTAACCTCTTAACAAGAAATTTAATTCGTTAATTAACTTCTTGCACTATTTTCACGAGTCTGACTCGTGATGAAAATTTTAGGCCAAACTTGAATATCACGAGTCAGGCTCGTTTAATTTCATGTCAAACGTGAATATTACGAATCTGGCTCGTAATCGACATTTCGGGCCGAACATGAATATCACGAGTCGTACTCGTGGTCTTAATCTCGGGCTAAACAAGAACGTTTGAATGGGCTCTTATCTCTGCTTTATATGAATAGGTATTTAATAGTTTGTCTTTCAATCTCTTATCCTCTGTCCGTCTCTCTTGTCTCAGGCTCTTTTCGCGAACATTCGGGTGCATAAGTTATGCATGGCTTGTTTCGAATTTCAGAGTAGTGCAAGGGGTTAATAAAAGTTATTTCGTCATACACTAATCTGTACATTCTCAAATATGAAGACACTGTTATCTCGGTTTTGACAAAATATGTGCAGGAGCTCCTACTCAATGCAATAATTCCTAAAAATTTAAAGCATGTACACATTGTACTACACTGTACACATTGAACACGAAATCTTCCTGGCTTCCTAATTAAATATGTCTCTTTATTATTTTTGCTCAAGAACTAAAATGCCAGAAACATTGCTTCAAAATCATTATGCCAATCAAGCATTAGTTTGACAAAACGAGCGGTTCAGAAAGTTACAGTTAGTGGAAATATTTAGTGGAATAAGGAAGTTTCCATTAAAAAATGCATAGTTACCTGAGAGGTTTCTCATAGAGATCGGAAACTGTCTTCAGTGTATGGCAATAATCTTTTTCTGATGACAGAATCTCTTCAACTATCCTTAACCGAACATCAGACGCTGCAAAGTACAGAACATTCTTAATTTATCACACTCTACATTCATTAACAGACAGAATCAGAACATAATTCAGAGTGATCATTGCAATGTAATAAGTCATACCATAGGTAATGTCAAGTGTTTGTCAATGTAATAAGTCATATAACATTATCAAACAAATGTACTGCATTCGGCTGTGTTGGATATATTTTGATTTTATATTTTGATTTTGTATTTTGATTTTATATTTAGAATTTCGTGTGTATAGTACTGCAGCAAGTTAATCCAATATATTTCGAGTTAAGTATACATTTATTTTATGATAATCTAGTTAAAGTTTTAAGATGCTTTAATTACGTAACTCTGAAACTAACTGTAAATGGAATTCGAAATTTAATTAAAATTCGAAATTTTGAATTTTTCAAAACAATGTTTTAAAGATCTAGTTTCAGTATTATACCCATGATATTTTTTATTTCACCTCGAAACATATGAACTGTCAAATGCACCTTTGAGCTACTATTTTTTAATTTTCTCTTTTTTTATACCCTCTATCACTCTTTTTTGCGGATATAATCGTGTGAGCTGATAAAGAGATTATATCTTTTATTTTCCGGATTTTTATAATTTTTTTTCAGATATTTTTTTTCTCCGGATTTTTATTCTTATTTTTTTCTTTTTCCCTTTTTTCATTGCTCTGTTAATTTTTTCCATGTTATATATATATATATATATACATATTAGAT